GCGAAAGAGGCCCTAATAAGTTTTAACAAAGCTTGTTCCCCCATAGGTAGCATTTTTTTCAGGACTATTGGATATATTCCGTCCGGCCCTGGTGCCTTGTAAGGACTGAACGATCCAATAGCGTCCCGTAGTTTGTGTGGCGATACTATTACATTGGCCAGTGCCCAATGTGCCCCTGTCTCCTGTATCATCCCCATATCTTCCACCTGATGGGGATTAGGGGAGAATCCCGGGAAATGTGTCCCCAGCAATTCTCCCAATATCTCCCCGTCATCCTCGGTGTACTCGCCGTTCTCCTTCTTTAGCGCTCCCAGCTGTCTGGGAGCCGCGTTCATCAGTATGTGGCTGATCTTTGCCGCATTTGACACCTTGTCGATCGAGGCACAGAATTTCCTCCATGCCCGCGTTTTAGCCTTGTATAGATTTCGCTTTAGCGTGTTTTTTGCTACGCGTAATTGGTTCCTGTCGAACCATATCCCCCTTCTTCTATGTGCCCTTTTAGCTAGTACCTTTACCTGCTTTACCTCCTTTGAGAGTTCCTTCGTCCACCAAGGAACTCTGCTCCTTTCCTCTCTTGGTTTCATTTCCGTTGCTTCTTCCCAACTATCGATCGTGATTCTTGTAAATTCACTGGCGTAATTGTCCAGTTCCTCCTGGTTGCCGTAGTTTCTGGGTAGTTCCGTCAATTTTATTGCCAAATTTGCTCGGAACTCCTTCCACACGGTCTTCCTTGGATTCCTTACCGGGTAAGATTCTGTTGTCCCTTTTCCATTCAACTGGAAAGTAATGTATCTATGGTCCGACATCGTGACCTCGTTCGATACTCTCCAATCTGAAATTTCCCCATCCATTTGTCTGTTTCCTAGTGTTATGCCCAGGACCTCCGCCCGGTCCGTCCTTTGGAAGGTAGGTGATCGTCCCCTGTTATATATAGTTAATCCTTGTTGGATGATGAAATCCATAAGGTCCCTTCCTCGGTTGTTCGTGTCCGTGCTCCCCCACACCGTGTTTCTCGCGTTCGCATCCAGTCCCATGAGGAGCGGAGTGTTCCTGTGTTCGCACCACTCCACCAGTTTCACTATTCCTTCCCCTGGAATGTCCCGATCCGAATTCCAGGGAAGATATCCTGTCGCTAAGACCATTTCTGTTTCGCTCTCCTGGCTCTCACTTTTCACCCTTAATGCTACTACCGCTAGATTGTTGGAACTAAACTGAGACAAAAACGTGACCACCAGGTTCCCTCTACACACCACGCATGCCCTGAGGTCCTTGCTAGCCTGTACCGCGTAAACCGTCCCCGCCATACTGAGACCTCTGACCGCGTGATGTGCTACGTAGGGTTCCTGTATTAACGCTATGGCCACGTTGTTTTGCCTCATATATTTTGTTAGCATTTGTGCCGCCGCGACCGCATGGTGCATATTGATTTGGACCACCCTCATTGTCTTTTTCCTGAAAATAGATACCTCTTTCACTTATCACTTCCCTTACTTATTATTGCCCCCCCGTTTGAGACCTTGCTTATTATTTATTTATATAACTTTATATATATATATGTTTTCCCTTATTCCTTTCTTTCTCCCTTTATACCCCTCCATACCCTTATTTTGTCCTAGTTTTTATCTTATTTTGTTTTATTTTGTCTTATTTTGTCTTAGGCTGGGTTTAATTTGTTGTATTGCCCTCCCTGAGTGTCTTGATATGTGTATTTATATTTACTCTTTCTCATCCCTCCCTGCCAATCTCTTTTCCCCGCTCACCTCATGAGGATTAACTCGTTCCCTCGTTCCCTTCTCCTCCGCTCTTTCCGTGTTTCGTTTCCCCCTTTTAATTTATTCATTTTATGTCTATCCGGTGGGAAAAAGAAAAAAGTCCCGTTTTCGTTCCTTTTTTAAGGAAAAGTTTTCTTTTATTCGCTTCCCCCCCCCCCTTTGTTTTTGTTTCTTTCTATGTTATATCATATACATGTGACTTATTCCTAGATAATTTCGCGTTTTATGTCTACTCTTACTATTACTACTTGTGTTTCTTAATTTATTTTACCAGTCTTACTTTCTATGATCTTACATCTATCCTTACCCTACTTTCCTTAACTATTCCCTACTTCCCCCCCTTATCCTATGTACTTTTTTCTCTCTATATCTTATCACTAGCTTAATTTATAGGATTAATATTTACTTATCTTATTCTATGTTACATGATCTTACAGACTATTCTAATCACGCCTCCGCAGAGGCGGAACTTTCCATTCGACCTCCTAATATATTGTGCCGACTGTCGCGTCGCGAATTGTTTCGTTATCGATCTTACGGTTGTAAGCCGTATTCGCGACTTCGCTGCGTTACTCGCCAATTTAATTTTAAGTAACTGTTTCGAATTCTGGTTGCTGAAGGAGTCCGTTCGATGACTCTCGTAGTTCAGCTAAAGGAGTCCGTTCGCTGACTCTATTGATTCTCTGAAGGAGTCCGTTCGTTGACTCGGTTGATTCTGTTCGTTCGACGACTCGATTAAATCTGTCCTGGAGTCCCGGGGTTCGCTTCCTCCTCGGTTCCGGCTTCCCCCGAGTCGCGCCTTCGGGGGTGTCAACGCCTTTTATTGGGCGTTGACAGAATATCGATATCGATTTGTATCGACCTGAGGAAGGAGGATCTCCAGCCACTCCTATAGGGTTGGAACGACACCGCCCTGGTCACTTCGTTGGTGGTGGTGGCAAGCCCCCGGTCATCCTGCGACGGTGGTGGAGGAAACCTCTCCCTCAGGTCGAAGTCCGCGAAATTGGGGAAGAGGAACGAACCCCGGAATAGCGCGCCGGTCCCGCGAGTCGGCGTCAACCCTCCGTAAGCCCGAACGGAGGATGACCTGGCGTAACGGTACCGACTGCCGGGCAATACGGCCCTCGTATGTTAAGGCTTAAGTCGCCGCTCGACGAAAGCACGAAAGTATTTTATTACTTGGGATGCCAGATGTGGAATCCTTAAACGTCGATGAATGAGAATGTTAACTCTGACTCGCACATCTGGCAACAGTAAAACAAATTGCTTCGTCGAGCGGTCGAAGAACCGTGTCGGTTGTCCTTCTTGTTCCTCGACGGAACACCGACTGTGGCCTCATTTTCACAACAAATTCCCTCCCCTTGTCCTCCGGATCCGCCTCCTTCCAGAGGATCCAATCCTCCGCCCCCAGTGCCGGATACTCTATTTTTATAGCCTCCATCATATCTTTAAACAGCATGATGCTGTGACTGCACCACATTGTCACTGTATTCCTCTTGTTCAGATCCTCCGCGGAGCATCTTAACACCCTGGAACCTCTCCATTTTATTCCTTTCTCCACTTCCTCTTCCATCAGCTTCACGGTTTTCTCGCATTTAGTTGTAAACAATACCCCTGCTCCTTTCACCCCCCATCGCAGGAGGGAGAACTTCCTTCTCACTTTTAGGGATCTTTTGAATAGCGTGTCGAATATATAATTCCCTGCGTCCCTCGTTACCTCCCTGTCCTCTAACTTCAATGCTAGGGTCCTTTTCCGCGATTCCTCTTATTCTCTATCGTCTCCTTCCTTCTTCCTCTGGTCCGTTTCTCTTCGTTCTCCTGGCTCTCCTCCCCTCGCGCTTCCTTCCACCACCTCCATTCCCTCTCCAGACTCCCCTGACCCCGAATCCTCTATTACGATTTCAGGGGATTCTGGCTCCATGTTGGTCCACATGCTGCTATAAATAATCGTTTTTAGGATGTTTGTTTGATTAACTCTCCTCTAAATCCTACTTCTAATCTGTTTCTCATGCAATCTACCCCCGGCTCATCCTCTCCCATCATCTGAACCTTTCTATTTATATGTTATATATCCTTATGTTATCTATAACGCACTTGTCTTCCTTTTCCCTTTTTATTTCCTGATCGTACTATCCCCCCCCTTTCCCTCCTTCCCCCATTTCATCAACCCCCTTCCCTATCCTTCGTTCCATATGTCTATATATCCTCCCTCCTCTTTTTTTTCCCTTTCCTTTTCCTCCCACTCCTCCCTCTCTCATTTTCTTCCCCTTTCCCCTTACCCCCTAGCAGCTTTCTAGCGGTGTAAGCTCGGTACAAGGGGCCGCGGGCCCAGTACAACTGATCTCCTTACCGATATTGTTTCATATCCAGATTATATCATCCTCTTCGTCTCCCTCTATCTCCTCCAACCTAGCCCCTCCTCCTATTTCCGTTTCCTCGGGCTGTTCTTCTCTTTCGAAGACGAGGATAATGTCGTCGCTTACTAGCAACCCTTTCGTACCCACCATCCTCGTCTCGAATTGCCTGCCCTCTGTTAATTTGCTCCAGTCGTCTCCTTCCTCCCAGAGGACTTCCTCCTCCTCCTCCTCTTCCTGGGGGGGGGGGGGGGGGG